TTGTTTTTTCCCAATACAATTGAAGAGAAATTAAGGGTAGGTGGTTCTTTTTACGTATGTACCTAACCTCCAAATTGAAATTCAAAAATAAAAATACAATAAAGTAGACACACATTGCTCTTACTTACATTTACTAATTATTTAACTTATTATTAACGATATACCTCTTAAGTATTATTAATTATCAGTCGGTCGTTGTGTTGCAATTAAAACAAAACAAAAGAATATAACCCGCAAATAGTCGTTACTTTTTCAAACAGTTTTCAAATTTCGCGGGCTTTGGTTCTCCCTGATTAAGAAATAATTTGATTGGATTATTAAGTAGAAATATTTTGTCGCTATTGGCTTAAAAATGATTAGCCCCGCCTATTGTGATGCACTTTGAAAAATTACCTATTCCCCGAGACCGTAAATTACATTATTAGTTTACCGTATTTATATCGAAAATAAGAGAGAATATGACATTATTTAATTTCATTATCGAATCATTTGTATTCATATATGCGACCGCGTGTATCTGTACGTGTACGTGCCCGCGTGCTTTAGATCGATATTCGAAAACAATGGCAAATGATCGAGACGCTAATTCGACTCGGTGCCGCGTAAAACGACGTTAACGTGATTTCCATCTTGCGTATTGGGAATAATTTGGAAAACAGGATTCTCATCGATATTTACCTTTCCTCGTTAGTTTCGTAATAAGCGTGCGTTTTTTAAAACTCGAACGTGCGGGTGCCCTTTTGTAATACACCCCCCCCCCTCCCTTTTGCTAACATCATTTGCACGTTCGTTCGAAACTTCCCGTAGGATCGTCGTAGCCTTTCGTCGTCCCATTACTTTTTTCTTTTTTTATTTCTATATAAAAGTTAATATTAGAATACGCGTTTTATTGTTTGAATTATGTTAAACGAAACTCGCGGTTAACTGTAGTGCATTGTATTAACGGAAAACTGCTAAAGTTTATACTTTCATCACGAAAATTTACATTATCCTGAAAAAGCGCAGACTGTACGAATAATTTTTCACTTGGATAATTATACAAAAGAAATAAACAAAAGAAAATGAAAAATAAGGAAATAAATAAATAAATAAAAGGAAAGATGTGAGGTGGGTATTAACGTTAAATACATTTCAAATGGTTTTCATTCGTTAATGACTTTCCAGTAAATTAGAATCGATAAACGATATCGATACATATACCACTTCTAGTATCCGCTAACGATCTTTTTGCCAATGGCAAAGAGGAACAAACGTTTCGTAACAACAAAAACTCGTGACAACAGGTCAATCCCGTTAAAAGAAACCTAACGGTTTTGTTTCCTCCTTTACTTTCGATTGAAAAATTTCAATCCGGTCGAAAAAGAATTGCAAATGGCCTATGGTAATGATAATGATAATAATAATAATACTCCATACTTTTAACAAGCATTATTTCTTCGTATCGCATGCTGAAAATCGAGGGTTAAAAAAAGAGGAGGAGGAGAAGTGGAAAAAGGGAAGAAAAAAAGATGGTGAAAAGTGGAGAATTGGAAGTCCTCTGTGGCAAGGAAGCAACCATGGTTATATATATATATAGCAATTACTTTGATTAAATGCGAAATAAGATTCACGGTTCGCCATACTCTAGGATGTAACTCGGAGCCAGCTAATTGTAAGAACTAAACTTCTCCTCTCCAAGAAGTTGGAAGGTGCTGTCCTATAATTAGATGGCTTGATTATGGAGAAATGGCCGCCAGAAAAGGGAAGACTTTAAATTGAGTTACGTTATAATGTGTATAAATCTACAAACCTATTCCTTTTATTTTCTTATTCTTTTATACTTTTTTTCTTCTCTATTAATTATTCATTCATAATGTTTATTTTATTCAACGAAATAATTTCAATATCGGTGCTTAAGTAGGTACAAGGTTAGGTTCGATAGTGACGTCATTCAACATGGCAGCGCAAAATGGTGGCGTGTTTTTTCAACACTCCAGACAATTTTTTCAAACTTCAATTAATTTATTTTTAATGATTTATATATACAGGGTGTCCCGTATAACACTAGTCGCGATTTTTCAAGTATTTGCGATAAACTGATAAAAAAATACTTTAAACAAAAGTTGATCTGTTTTTTTGATTGATTATATATTGCAGTAAATGAAAGTTTGAAAAAAATTCTTTTTTTAATGTTTTTTAAACATTATAAAAATATGTATATATAGAATAATGAAAAATACTTTTATGCATTAGTTGATCTTGAATTTGACTAGAACAATAATACATATACCTTTAAACGTAATTTCTTAAATGTAAATTACGTATAAAAGGAAATATTTTATCGATAGAAGGTAAAGAAGAAAAAAAAGAAACAACTGGTGTAATTGATGATAAATTTAAATCACAAGCAATTGTACTAATTTCATTTAACGTTCTGCAATACGAAGAAAACACGATGATGGTTTAGAAAACAAGACGAGTTTCTCAATGTTCGCGTTTAATATCCAACAGACACGGTCGTAGGAAGTGACATTTATTTGATTCTTTAGTACTCGTAGTAATAAACGATCACTAAAGGTGTCCCATTTAACAGTTACCACCAAACCCATGGAATTTATAACTATTTCGTATGGTTACTCGATTTATTATCCTTTTTACAGATTCATCAAACGTATCAAAGATTAACTCACTGTTGATGTTACTCCCGTTGTCATGCAGAGAACTCGCTCACCGTTATCTGTAATCAAATTAATAAGAAATTTGTATAATTACTATGATCACTCTTAAATTCTTTGTTTCTTTTTTTTTTTATTTAATTTTTGTCTCAAACAATTTCATCGACAAATATAATAAAAAATAATCAAACGAATCGAACATTTCAATATTTTCTATCATTTACGTCATATTATTAGGGGGTTACATGGGTTTGGGACTTTCAAAAAAATTTTTTTTTTTTTATTTTTTTTCAATTCTACAACTCATCTAGAATATTGTATTCAATTTTGAAGTTGATAGGAATAGTAGTTTTAAAGATAGAGCCCTGGGAAGTTGCACTCTTTAGTGGCTCTTATACCATCACTCAAATCTTTAAACGCGTTTTTCTCAAAACGCTTTTTCTAAAGTCGGTTGTCAAGATTTCTCGAAAACTATTTAACCGATTTTCATGAAATTTGCTACGCGTCTTCGTGATACTACTGACAAGTACTTGGACAAAGGATTTTCGTTTTTTTCATAAAATCGAATTTTAAGAAACCAAAATGTGGTGCAAATTGTTGCGAAATTTGAATGTTCTTGCTAAAAACGTTGCCAAAAATCCAAATTTTAATTTTTTTCTTTTTCCTTTGTCCAGTTTCTAGTTTTAAGTATTCACTAAAAGACCCTATTTTTTCAACAGAAAAACCCCCACCGTTTATAAGTTCTGCTGTCAACGCGGAAACACTTTTTTTCGGTGGGGTCACCGGAAATGACGTTGCAATGGCTGAGTTTAAAATATTTTTCAAGCAAAAATTCAGAAAATCTTCTTTAAATATGTATCTTAAATACTATAAAAAGTTTGAATAAGAATTCCATTGTTTATATTGAAAAAAAAATTGTTGAAAATATGCTATTTTTTCCCGGTGTAAACCCATGTAACCCCTTAAAAGGGATAACGAAATATTGTCCAATTAATTGTTAAACACTTTTAATAATGTTAACAATAACTGGAAAAAGAATGGAATACAAAATAAACAAAATATTAACAAACAACAACAACAACAAAAATCAATTTCAATGTGTCTGTAGGATTTAAACAAACATCGGTAAGCCTCGCGACAGGTGAATAGAGAGAAAAAGGTGGAAAAAAAAAAAAGAAGAAAAAAGTAGAATAAAGGAATGAAGCTTTGATTGTTTTCGTGAAAAGTTAAGCAAGATTTTGGAGATCGAAGCAGTAGAGACAAACCGTACCGTATTGAACCCTTTCAATATTCGATAGCTCACGTCCACACACTATTTGCCGCGAATCTATGCTTGTCAATAATCCATTGCGTTTTCCAATTAATTCTCTGACAAAGACTATCTATCTGTCTCTCTTTTTTTTTATTTCTCTCTCTCTCTCTCTCTCTCTCTCTCCCTCTCTCTCATTCTCACTTCATCTATTTTCCACACTTTACGAATCGACGTAACAGCGCGCTTTAGTTTCCGTATGATGAAACGCCAATCATAGATAAATAAAAAGAAAAAAAAATAAATAATAACGAGAGTGAGGGGAGTGTGGGGGAAGTGGGGTTAAAATTTAGAACAAAAATTCGTCACGACAAATAATTATCGGCCTATTTACAAAAGCATTATTACGCGTTCGTGCAAAATCGTACATAACCTATAATAAATATAAATGCATCGGATGAATTTTTATAAGCACCGTGCGAATTGTAAATTATATTCAAACAATTTTTTATTTAACTATCAATACATTTGTTTTATCGTAGTTTGTTTTTATTTTAAAATAAAATAACTCAATACAAATAATCAATTTTAATCTGACAAGACTATAAAAGAAAAACATCAACAATATTTTTATAACTAAAACAAATGTAAAATAAAATGTAAAAAGAGTATCGGAAGAATAGAAAAAAATTACTAAAATTTTTCGAAAATTGACACAACAATAGATACTTTTTTTATTCGTTAAATAATTATACTTTTATTGCAAACATATGAAAAGTTTTAAAAGTGTTTTGGACGCTAGGCGGCGCTGATGTCGGTGCACAATCTATACCATATTAACTAATTCTATAGCAAACAAGAAAAGAATAACAAAAAAAAAAAAAAGTAAAATTAACAATAATATTTAATTCATCGAAAATGTCGTCTCGTCAAAGTCATAAAGATAACTATCATCATTTCTAGATTACTATAGTACCTTTCTCATTGTAGGCTTTCTCTCATTGTAATCAATCAATTCTACCATTATAATTGTGCTTGTCAGATATGCAACATTAAACTATTCAATTTCATCAAATCAAAGAGGTGGCTTGAGTTGAAAAGAGATAGAGATAGAGAGATAGATAGATAGAGAGAGAGAGAGAGAGAGAGAGAGAAAAGCAGTAACGGATGTTCCGCAACGTACGTATGCTTTTGTACGCTTTGAAATTCGATTACAACTAGGATCGAATGATGGTTGGACGATCTAATTATTAACTCGTAACATAGTGTTAATATCAGGGGACCGCAATCGACGTTTTGACTCGCGATCGAGAATCTCTCTTACACCACGAAATTCGATAGAGCGAAAGCACGATGTTCTCAGTGGTTTCGTTTGTTCAGTGAAACTGAACAAAAGTTATCATGCCATTAGATCCGTCTACCTATCTATCTCCATCTATCTATCTATCTTCATCTACCTATCTATCAATTTGTCTGTTTATCTATTGATTATTAACCAAAAATATTATATGAATTTAATGATTTATTTCTTTGACAAATTTATATCGATGTGTATTTGAACGATTACTTTTGATCGTTACAAAACACACATTCCTGATTGAACAAACAAACAAAAATAAATATAAATCTATCGATAATCGTTGATGTAATAAAAAAAATACGATACGACGATATTGATAATATTAACACATTTATAAAGAAACATTTTATTAATATTTAATAATCCACGTCGTGTAATTTAAATACACGAACAAACTTACGTTTCATCTTTGAAAGCTTCCACCGTCTAACAATTAATTCCCCGCCCCTCTCCCCTTCTCCCACACTTCTCCTATTTTTCTACGTATAATTGCTAAACAAAAAATTGCCAATTCGTCTTCATTATATAACATTTTAAATAAGTTTTAAACGTTAGACCCACATTGCAATTTAATCATCCGCAAGCCGGTTTTAACTAATTATACTTTCCAAAACAAATCCATTCGCGTTTCCTCGTTCTTAAGAAAAAAGAAAAGATCAAAACAAAAAAGTAAGAAAGAAAACAATGAAATAAAAGATAACACAATGATGAACGACGTAACCATATAATTTACGGGGCTGGAAGGGGGGTGGGAGTCTGGTAGAAAGAAGAAGAAAAGGCGAGGGAAAAAAAAAAACAGAAAAAAAGAGAAAGGTTGTGGAGAGTTGGGGGGGAGGGGAAGGTAAAAGAAAAAATAAGATAGGCAGAAATGAAAAAAAGAAAAAAAAAATGGTTAGAGGAAACCATAACCAATGGCGTGGGTTTAACGTATAGTCGGTCTCCTCAATTACATCCAATGGCGGTTTGAATTCCTTTGGATCAACAGACTGTGAGCCTGGCATGACGCCATAGAAAGTTAATTCGCCTTGGCGCCGAATTAATTCCTCTCTCTCTCTCTCTCTCTCTCTCTCTCTCGCGTATAAATATAACGGTAGTTTCTAGGAAAGTCCAAAGGGGGTATCCTACATAGATTTCATACATTCTAACAATTTTCAAAAGAGAGAGAGTAAGAGATAAAGAAACTTACAATCTATCCCTATCTATCTATCTCACTTTAACTGATACACACTATCTCTTTTTAACTTTCAAAAGACCCAACAGACAGTCAGACAAACGTAGAGAGACGAATGGGACGAAGAAGGGTAGCATTTTAACACCGATTGTACAGGAAGTTGGAAGAGATCTACGTTTATGCATTTGTATTCGTAATACGTGTATTCGAATAACGTTACCTACTCACACCACTTACGTTTGTGTGTATCTGTGTATGAAAGATGAAGAGAGAGAGAGATAGAATGAAACTAGGAACGCTTGCCCAATGTCCGTGTATATCACTGAATTCTTAATCACCTACCATCTAACCTCGTCCTGTCCAACCCCTAATCCCAGACATGCTAACGATTACAGCTTATACTCGCCTAACGAATCTGCTTTTACCCGTAACTATAGTCATCGCAAGTGAGTAAGAGAGTAAGAGAGAGAGATACTACTATTGCGAGAATTTCTACGCGCCAAGAGAAATCGTGCTATACGAGAGTTTTACAGAAATAGCAAGCAAAGGACCTCGTTTTCACGACAATGGACTACTCGCCACCACCACCACCATCGTCGTCGTCGTCGTCGTCATCCGAACGATGACGCCAGTTTCGTTCTACTATCGTTTGTTTTTGTAACTATACTAATAAAGATCCCTAGCAATTTTCCCCACAACCCCACATCATCAACACTTCGTTATTCGCGTGTGCGAGAACCACAGTGAATAGAAGAAAAATAAGTGAAAATAAAACAGAAAAGAGAATAAAAAAGAAATCAAATGGTCAGGGACCGCGGGGGGGGGTGGGGAGGAGCGGGAGCGTTGTTATAGGGAAAAAAGGTAATAAAGAATTATTACTAAGTTTAATTCTTAGGGATGTTATTTTTTGGACAGGTTTAAATTACATGAACAATATATTTATTCGTTGAACGTTTCATCTTTATTTGAGACTTCCCTCAGCAACTCGATAGTTATGTTCATAAATCAGTTGAAACTTATGACTGTAATAAAAATGATGTTATATTGACTTATGAATATAACTATCAAGTTGCTGAGGAAGTCTCAAATAGATACGAAACGTTCAACGGATAAATATATTGTTCATCTAATTTAAACCTGTCCAAAAAATAACATCCCTAAGAATTAAACTTAGTAATAATATTAAACAATTTTGGATAAGAAACAAATCTTTATTATAGTAATAAAGAATATTGGCATAATAATAATAATAATAATAATAATATCGTATGAAAATGAGGTA